TTCAGGACATTGGAAGTTGGGAGTCTGTTGGTTAGGGGGGCTTGGGAGTCCAGAAGTCCGAGGACTGGAGAACAGAGTCCGGGGACACCAGCTAACGACGACATGATGAAGCGTAAACAAACATGTCCAACTGGCAGACAGGCGGCGGACAGGCGAAACTGGCGAAAAGTAAAACAAAATGAATTTTATTTTGCATTGGAAATGATTGCTGTGACTAACATGCCTTGGATTTTATTTGTGTTCGGAATGTTTTGCGAGACTGCCAGCAGCATTTTAGCCAGAGTCCATTTGCTAAACGCCCCTTTCCTTCGCCCTTTGTTATTTTCCAGCCAGCTGGGAGTAGTTTTATTCCTGCCCGCCCTGCTCTGTGTGATTTTTGCCGTGCCCCGAAAAGTTGCAGCAGAGCAGCAGAGTTGCCCCGTCTCCCTAAAAAAAACCAGGCTCTCTGGGGGCACAGACACACACGTAGCCTGACTTTCAAACGCTGCAGTCGGAGTCGAAATCGGAGTTAGGAGCTAGAAGTTAGGAGCTGGGAGCCAGGGTTCGGCAGCCAGGAGTCGGGAGGCGGGAGTCGGGTTCCAAGTAGATGACCCGCATGAAAATGCTGGCCCTGGCATATTTTTATGCCGCAAGCATGCAGGACAAATGGCTGAAATTTTTGCAGCTCCTGATGATGACGAGGGCCGAAGGGCAGTAAAGGGGTGGAGAGGGGCAGGGAAGGGAGAAAGGAGGGGAGGGACAGGGACAACGGCGGCTGCAGTTAGTTTTCGACATGTGTACGTGGCCCGCCATCAGCAGTGGTCTGGTCCTGGGAAAAAAGTCACTTCTCCTTCGCAGCCCCTTTCCTCAAAAACATACATAGTTTTTCTAGGTTTCACAGTTACAGAATGCACTCTGGAATATTCCTATATTTTACCGGCTTTAGTTTTTCTTTTAATCCTAATCTGGTTTACTCTAACTTGAATTTCCTTTAAGTTCAATTTTAACAAAAAATAATTTGCTTGATGTGTCTTTTGTTGGTGTGTCTTGTAGGGATTAACGGACTTTGTATATTACAATTTAGTAATAAAATTAGTAATAGTAATAAAATAAAAAATTAAATTGCTTGTACAAAAATGCAGAAAAATATGCTTTCAAAGTTCATTATTATAAAGAATTCGTATGAGACCATAAATAATTTTTAATAAGTTAGAATAATCAAACACATCTCAGTGCTCAGGGTATTCTAAATAAATATAATGGCAAACACAAATCGGAGGAATTTAAAGTATGATACTGAAAGACAGGAAGAATAAATTCAATTCAAAATAAATACATTTTGGCGGTATTACATACAGTTCAAGGTTCTACGGTTCAAGGTTTTTCTCCAAGTGCATCCTATCTGCTTCCGTGTCTTGCTCGTGAGGAGACAAACCCGGTATGGGAATGTATATAGGTATGTATGTTGGGAGAAATTGAACAAGTCGTTTGTCGGCCGCCCTAGGAATTTATGTGAGCAGAGAGCGCGCTGCCCGAGTTGAAAATTAAACATTGCGTATACGCCTAGGTGCATAATAATTCATGCCTCGAGTGGAGGCTGCCACTGCTTGCCAGGCGACTGCAGGCGAAATTGTGTGTAAAATGTTTTAATATGAGCTCATAATATACGATCCTCGGACGGGGCGGCAACCGAGTCCAAAGTGAGTGGACGCCGCAGCTCAATTTGTGATTTATGGACATGGGACATTGGCTCTGCTCGGGCGTTTGGCAAGAAAAGGAGCCCTCCCCGGTTATTGGAAGAGCGTATTGGCTCGCAAGTGTTGTCCTTTCGGCTGCACTCCGGCCGAAGGCCATGAAATTTTATTGTTTAGTTTGCCGGCCGGCCAAGGCATGCGAAATGCCTAAAAATGGCTGCCTGCCGGATATCCTGTGGCGCACAGCCTGCCGCATGCACAGTCCGGCAATTGAATTTACATTTGGTTGTTCTCTGCCGGAGAAAACACAAAAACACTCAAAGCATCGTGCGCTTTTTGCTGGCAACATTTTGGCATTTGTTTTCGTTGCTCTGTTGTTTTTGTCTCTTTTTTTAATTGAGCTGGAAGTTGTTTGTGCTCTCGAGGACACCCTGGGATAACAATAATAAAATCCAACGATGCTTACTAGCTGGCCAGCGAGCCGTGGCTCCTGAATTCTTTAAAGTCACTGGCCGGAGCTCCCAATTCCGATTCCGACTAATGGTCCAAATTCAATCAGGAACTGACCCAATTATAATCCGCGCAAATCCTACACACAAAACACACCGCAGCTCTGATTTTGTTTGCCCTGTTTTTTCCAGTAAGCCATGTTTAGTAGTTGGTTTCCATTACCGAACTGGCCAGCTCATGCGGTTGGCCGTTTTTTCAGTATTTGATCCGAAAAATCAATTATGCCCTGCCTGGTATTTAATTAAATATTGTTGGCATTTTTTGTTGACTGCATATTAACGCAATTATCGAAGGGGGCGTGGGCGGGAGTGTCAGTGGGTTTAGGGGCTCGAAATATATTCAATACTTTTTTTGCTGGCCAGCGAAAATTCCACGCCCTCAGCAGGTGGAAAAAAAGGGACGAGGATAAATGGTGATCGGTCCTGGGCGAAATGCAATTGTGAAGCGTTTTGCAAATATTTTAGCACTTTTAAATAAATACATGCCGGCGGGGTAGCTGCACTTTGGCGCAATTTATGGCAGCAAAAGTTAAAACGAAAGCCAAGCCAAAAAATGGCGTTCACGTTAGACGTGGGAAAGCCGTCGACTGTTGACTGTTGAATGGGAATGGCAGGTCCCATAAAACTGCCGTGTGTCGACGTTTCCAAAATTCAAATATTTATTTTAAATTTTTGCGCTGCACAAACATTTCCGTTTTGTTTTTTATTTTCCAGTGGGAGGATGGCTGGTTCTGGTTTCCGGTCAATTTCGACGCTCGTAACCGGCATGTAAACGAGGGCTAAGCTTAAATAATGGTGTTCGCATTAAATATATCTAGCATTTAGTGTAACTCCTAGTAAAAGTAATGCGGCCGTGACATTACATCAGAAAATTTTGGAAAGGTGATTTTTATGTACCTATAATCAGAAAATACCTTAGCTTTTTGACTGATAATCTTTTGCTTGTAGAGTTTTAAATTGAACTTCGGTTCATTCTTCTCAAAGCTTTTACTGAATTTCGGCCAATTACTTGACAAAATTGCCTGATAACTTTCACATATTGGGAATATCAGTTTACACTTGCGATAATCTCAAGTAAATACGTGTGCCAAGGTCGAGCCCTCAGGAGCCCCTTACTTTTATTTCAGCGAACACGCACCTAAAAAAATTATAATGTTTAATTTAAAGATCTCAACATGTATTGGCTCTACAACACATGACATGACAATATTTTTATATAAGGGAAATTATTATTTAACTAATATTTTAATACCATTCCCAAGTATTTTTAATACAATACTTAATACATTTATTTTCCTCATTTGAAAATGAAAACTTACTATCATATGTTGTTTCATAATGTTGAAAAAATAATATTAACACTTTTTGTATCGTTGCCTCAACATAATATATTTAATTAATTTTTCGAGTGTATCCTGCTGATAAGCGTATCCTTTTTGCACGGGTTCAAGAGCCCACACCAATGTCATTGACATGCCGCGAAAGTAAAAGCCAAACAAAACGGACTTCGCTCGAGGGCCACGATGGGCAGGATGTTTGGCTGAGTGGGCAGATGGAACCGGCTCACACCATTGCGACCTGGCCAAAAGACCCTTTGCAATCTGGCCAATATTCCACAATATTCCACGAACTGCCGTTAATTACACAAATGCAAAAGTCTGTTGAGCGGCCAAATTGGTCGGTAATAAATAAATTCAATTGAATAATTTATTTAATTTATTTTCGGAGGCTGCCGACGCGTGACACAAAATAAAAAAAACAGCTGGCTAACAAAGTGTTTTATTTTTCAGGTTGGCCCTCGTGTGTGTGGCAGGTGAGCAAATAAATGTGTGAAAAAAATTTGTTTGGGATGCGGAAGTGTGCAGCAAGCTGACATCGAGGTGTTAGAATTTGGTGCAGCGCAAAAAAAGGGGAAGCAAAGCAAACAACAAATGGCAAACGGGCCGAGCACATTTTTCAGAGCCACACAAATGTGTGGCACAGGCCAAGTGAATTTGTGGAACGAAAACAAATCGTTTAATTGGCTTAAGCAAAACGTAACCATTATACAGCCGCACCGCTGCCGATTATATAACCGGCCAGGTCCCAGTTCAGCCCAACAACGATGCCGTTGACAGCGCCGTCGACTGCGACTTCGACTTCGACTGAGACTTCGGATAAACCAGTTTTGCAGTTGGCCAGTTCCCTCTGCTTCACCCAACTTAAGCGATCTGTTTGCTTCGTTTTTTAAGAGCAAACTGACGCAAGGGTGCCGCACCACCGTCCACACCACAAGAGCCAACCACCAAGTGACACCGCCGCACCACCGATCGCAGGGAACCACTCAGCAACGGGTTTGGCGTGTTAGCACAGTGAACTCTGGTAGGAAAACTGGCCAACTTCGATCAAAGTGGCCCAATAAAAATAATACAACTTAAAACTTTTAAAGTAGAAGTGCTAGTAAGTTCAACAAACATTTGGCAACATAAACCTTTAAAATACAATTTATTTTTAATTTAAAAGAATTTCTTAACCCTTAAACGTTCTTAAATTTGAAAAAATACTTTCCTAATAGCTTTTATAGTTTTGTTGAATGATTCGTTTCATAATAAGAACCCAACATCATAAACATAAAAATAACATAAATAATATTGTTACAAGTTATAGTCAGTATATGGTATATTCTTTCTTGGACTAGTTCGACTAGTTACCACCGCTTCCAAAATTATGATTGCGTGCCTGTTACACAGTTTCCACTGTGATAACTCCGGTCGGCGATCTGGTCCGAGTCGAGAAATTTGTGTGGGCCATCGAGCGAGAGCATATAAAGATAATGGAAAATCTCGGCGCGACTTAGTCCGTTGGCTAAGCCGTTGGCACATTCGCACCTGAGCCCTCGTCCGATTCAGAAATGCAGTCCCACTCGCTCCTGCTGATCGCAGCCGTCGCCACGTTGCTGGTGCTCCAGGTCAGTGCCCAGTGGCTGTCCCTGCTGATGGAGCCGACTCCTGACCCCTTCCTTCCCTTGCAGACGGCGGCCAAGTTCCAGGTGAAGAACCACGAGGACGCCGAGCGGGCCTTGGAGGAGTGCCGCGAGGAATTCTACGTGCCGGACGACATCTACGAGAAGTACCAGGAGTACGAGTTCCCCGCCCACCGGCGCACCAGCTGCTTCGTCAAGTGCTTCCTGGAGAAGCTCGAGCTCTTCTCCGAGAAGAAGGGCTACAACGAGCGGGCCATGATCGCCCAGTTCACCTCCAAGAGCAGCAAGGACCTCGCCACCGTGCAGCACGGCCTCGAGAAGTGCATCGACCACAACGAGGCCGAGTCGGATGTCTGCACCTGGGCCAACCGCGTCTTCTCCTGCTGGCTGCCCATCAACCGCCACGTGGTGCGCAAGGTCTTCGCCTAGAGGCTCGTGATATAACTCCCTCCTACTGTAAACCTCCGATAAATGTTAAAATCTGTATAAATAAAAATGTAACCTTTCCAATATTTTAAGCATTTTATTCATGCTGATAAAATTAATTAGCTTCTCTTTATATCTTTACTAACACTTTCCCTTTCAATAGAGAGAACTACTTTTGTTGCTGTTGTGCTTCTTTCAAGAAGTTGTATTTTAATTTTAATAAAATCATTTAATTTAATCATTTAATTGAAATGTATGTTTTGGCAAAGAAAGATGAATAAAAACTTAAAATGCAAGTAATCCGCATATCTAGCACTGCAATAACGACATCATTGTAAATTTCTGTCATTCTCCAATAAATATTTCCCAAAAAATACATCTATTGATATACAGTTTTTGTTCATACTTTTCCATTTGTCTTGCCCAACCGTTAAGTCGAAGTCTTTGCTTGATTATGAATTAGATTTTAAATGTATTGCTTAAACAAATTATAATTTAGCAGGAACTTATTCGGATTGCCAAAACTTCAAAGAAAATCCCTCTTAAGATCGATTTCGTCCCGCTTACAACCTGAGCATTCTGTTTGCAAATCATGTTTATGAATAAGGCTAAACCAGTCAGAACAAAATTACTTGTAGTGAAGCAGAAAACGAGTTAGCATTTTCACTAATTGCATAGCAAACAAGGTTTCATAACCCCGCGATCTGTAATTGCGTTACTTGTCGTGTTTTCCCAGGCCTATCGAGCTTTCTAAAATCGAAGTCCAGCCACATTTCAAAATATAGACTAAGCGCAGTCCGAGTAGAACTGACCTAGACCAAGGCAATCGAGCCACGCGCTGTCGATTCCCTCGGAGCACCCACATCCACTCCCCGGCGGATGAACTGGCATTCGTTGAACCCGCCGGCTATCTCGACGCGCTGATAACCTCCACCTCCGCTGCATCGCAGGCAGCTGATCGGCGACTCCGTCCGGCGGATGTTTTCGCCGCCAGTTCGGTTTGTGCATCGCCCGCAGAGAGATGGGATCCTCGTGGCCGACGTTACTCAGCCTGCTTCTGATCATCAGCCAGGTGAAGCCAATTAAAGTGCAGCAATTTCCCAAGAAAATAGCTATTTCAAAATAGAAAATACATTGACTTAAACCTTTTAATACTTGTTGGAATTTCATACTGTTCCTGTTCTTTTTATTAAACCTCGAAACGCTTAGAAAATTAAATCATCATACTTACATGACACCTGCGGTTGATATTCTAAATTGTGGCTAAAATAATATTGTACTATTTATTTAAAATTTAATATGTTATTAAAAATCACAATAAATAAACTAGAATATAATAAGTTAAATTGAGAAGTGTAATCCTTATCGCAACATCTGAGCCCCCAAGATTTGTTTTTCAATGACTGCGAATAATGAAACAAATGAAAAGCAATTATCAGGCAAAGTAGAGAGTGTTTCGTCAATCGCCTTATCAATTGAATATACTTTGTATGTGCTCCCAGTGAGTTCTCCGTAAAAAAGATTGTGTTGTGAACATTACTTCCTAGTTTTGTATAGATAGTTGCACTTAGAACGGCAAACTACTAAGAGGATCTCAGATTTGTACTAAGCAGTCAATGTAAACAATTTAATTAATAGGAATATAACCCTTTTTTAACAGGTCCTGGCTGACCTGTCCGGCGATGCCAAAATGCTGGAGAAGTGCCTCCGGGAGCTGAGCTCGCCGGAGAGCATCGAGGGAGATCTGCGGAAGCTGGAGCGGTATCCTTCGTGGACGCGGGAGGAGCTGCCCTGCCTGATGCGCTGCCTGGCGAGGGAGAAGGGCTGGTTCGACCCGGAGGCCAACAAGTGGAGGCTCCAGCGGCTGACCGACGATCTTGGAGCCGACGTCTACAACTACTGCAGGTTCGAGCTGCGGCGGATGTCCTCCGACGGCTGCAGCTTCGCCTACCGCGGATTGAGGTGCCTCAAGCAGGCGGAGATGCACGCCGGCACCAGCCTGAGCACCCTGCTGCAGTGCTCCCGCCAGCTGAACGCCAGCAACGCAGAGCTGCTGCAGTACAGTAGGCTCCGGGAGAAGGAACCCATTCCGTGCCTCTTCCAGTGCTTCGCCGATGCAATGGCTTTCTACGACTCGGCGGGCGACTGGCGGCTGGAAAACTGGCAGAGTGCGTTTGGTCCTCCCCGGAATGAGGAGCGGTCGGTGGCTGCCAACTACAGTGAGTGCCGGCTAAGCGAGAAAAGCCGCCGGGAGGCTACCGACAAGTGCTCGTGGATGTATGAGGAGTACAAGTGCTGGGAGCGAATAAATGGGAATGATCTGGTGGAGGAGACAAAGGGGAAACCTTGAGCTTCCAATGTGATTTGCTCATTCATCAAATGCTTTAATTTGAATAAACAGTTTAGGCATACTTTTTAGAGTTAATTAAAGATATTTTTTTACATATGGCAACGATTTAGAATTCCTCCAGAAAGTTTTTATTGGAATTGGTAGAACCTTTATGGAAGTTCTTAAACGGCAATGCTGAAGCATGTGAACTGTTTGTAGTAAGTGGCACAGCGGTCCCTTCCGCTCTGTCGGTGGCATCCCCTGATGTGGGCTCCTGTGGCAGGAACGCCCAGGTGCTGCTTCATGGCCTCTAGTTGCCAGCGACGCGTCCTCTCATCGAAAATGTGCAGCTTGTCCAGGAAGCAGCGCGTGAAGCAGGGAATCGGCTCCCTCACAGGATAGTCAGCGAAGGACGCAAAGGAGGGCCACTCGTCCTGGTCCACCACCTGCAGGCAGTCCTTCATCGCACTCTTGGCCGCCGTCGAGACGTTTGGCATACTGTCGATCAACGTGAACGGGTGGCTCTCCATCTGCAATAATGTCAGTTTAGTAAATTATAGAAAAAATATATTCATACTATAAACGTATAGTTTTTATAATAGAATAAGCTCTTCACTGTTTATATTTCGTAATACATTAAAAATATTCCGAAATGGTATCACCAATAAATAAATGGGCAATAAAATCGAAAAAGTGAGTCTATTTACAACGATGTTTTGAAAAAAGCACAAGATTTTTATGAATTATAGCTTAGTATAAGTTTCAGACAACTTCAAAACCAAACGATCCTTAATTCGGTATTGGTAAAACATTTACTTAACATATTGCCTTTTAAAATGAAAAAAATTAACAAAAGCTTAGAGCGTATAAAATGAATGGGTACTCATCAATTCGGAAGCAATCTTAGTGTTTCGAAAAAGAAAGCTTTCTTCGAAAGGTCACTGGACTCGGCTTATCGCCGTCTACTCACGTTGGTGATGCAGTGGAAGGCCTCGTAGGCGTGTTGGCAGCTGCTCTGGCTGGAGCTCAACTCCAGTTTGATCTGGCAGGCTTCGTAGACGGGGATTCCAAAGGCACTAATAACCCCTTCCTTATCGAAACCCGTCTTGTTGTTGTAGAAGTCGAACATCTCGCTCAAGTAGCAGCGAGTGAAGCAGGGAATTTCCTCGTAGCTCTCCGACCATTCCTTGAATCTTGCCAGACGATCGCTTGTCTCCTCTGTTAACCCACCGTAGTTCTCAATGCACTTGTTGATGGACTCGCCCTCATGATCTAACAGGGCCAGGCTTTCATCCTATAGAAAATATTGTATTAAGCTGGATTGCAAGCGAAACCTTTTGCTTACCACAGAGAGCCATAGGATTATGGCTGCCAATAATCCACTCCTCAGAAGCATGGCTCAAAAATGCAAATGCCTTCTAGTAGATTCTACACGTTCTGTGCTTGATTAAAAACTGAGGCTCAGGGGACAAATAAATATTAAAACACCTCGGCGGCGTTAGATTTAATACACTTAAAAAATTTAAGGATACAATGAAGAACGCAAAACATTGCGACTTATTTTAAAATATTTTTGTTTTGTTTGGAAAATGACATGTTTATGACTGAGAAAGTATAAATAAGGTTCCAATGCAATTGCAATCGTTTATTAATATGTACGTATTATACTATAGGTGGCTTAAGGGCGTTCAGATTGATTGATTCCGAATAAAAAACTGTAAAACACTAGCTAAGTTACTGTGTCATGTTTAATCTATACTTACAGCTTTTTGCTGAAAAGGCATTTTTCTCGGCTTACTCTTAACTTTGTTGGCTAATCAGTTCTCGCCTCAGTTATAAATTTGTAATAAAAAGGAAATATTACTCTATTCCAATGCTTTTATGAACGAATAGGGCTTAATATCATACATTTAAAAAATAATTCAACTAATAACAAACAAATGAGTGTATAACAATCATAAATAACAAGCATTAATAAGTTAATTTAAAGGGTTCCCAGGATAGAATGTTTATTTGCAAAACGGTAAACAAATAAGGTAAAATGTTTTTTAACAAACACTTCATTGTTTTTTCCTTTCTCTGTTTTCAGTGTGCTCCCCCTTAAAAGATAACCCCATTTTTCGACTACCTCAAGTTCAAACGAAAGCTTTCAGCGGGCGGCTGATAAGAACGCCCTAATCAAGGAGACTGGGTCAAGTTTTCGGGCTCGGTTGCGCAAAGAATTCTGGGAGGGATTACGCAACTATCCGCGGATCGCAGATCCATGGCGATGGGCCAGCTGCATTTGCCCAGTTGCATTTTTATTGATCAACACCTGACAACGGGGCCACGACTGCAGTCACTAAATCGAAGCGATGCTATTGAATGCCGTTAATTGATTTTGGTTTTTTTGTTTTGGCATTTTGCCCGGCCACTTGTCGGGCTTTTAATAATGTCTTTTCTGTGCGGCCGGCTTGTAAAGGAGCGACATCGTCCCACTTTACGCATTTTTGAGCAACCGGATTCGGGTTTTGGGTTTCGGACTTGGCGACCGAGCAAAACATGTTTAACAAAACACGTCGCATCATCATTATCCCAGTCCGCTGAAGAGATCTTCATCGACGCAATTGCAAGTGGGCAAAACAGCAAATAACTCCAAAGTGGTTCTGCCAGATCGGCCAAACAGTCAACAAAAACAACCACTTTTGCTTCCACTTCCACGAATCGAAGACACAGTAAAAAAAGGTTTTGCGTAGGCACTATTTGCACACACAATTTTTACGATTTCGGTCAGCGAAAAAATAATTTTAAATTCTCTATTTTCTGTGCTTAAACGAAATAATTTTGTTTAAAATGGTATGAAAACAAAAATACAATTTATTCACATATATTTATACTTCTTAACAGACTAATTATCAATAAATTGGTATCGGAGGTCTGTTTAATTATTAAGAAGTTGTATTTTAAACTAATTAAAATGTTTAACGAGATTACTTAATGTGAAAATATTCCAGTTTCAGGTATTAGAAGAAACTTGGAACAAGATTGTTTTGCATAAAGTTCCAATCAGTAAACAGATTTCCTGGTTTTGCATTTTAAGATCATTTTTGAGTGAAAGAAATGCAAGCTAAATTCGTTTCTGTGGACGTTTCCCTCACAATTTCTTCGCAATGACCTTGGCTCGTTTTCTTGCGTGTTTGGCCGTAAAAATTATAAATCCAGTTTTCGATTTCCTCTCTTCTTTCACTCTCGCACAGTCACAATTTGAACAAATTTTCGTTGTATAGTTAATTGTTTTTTCCCGCCGCCAGTTGTTGCCAAACGGCTTTCGGTGGGGCAACTGCGATGACAACGATGACGACACAGCAGCAGCACCACCACCGGGCGGTAGTACAGAGATCAGCACCACCGGTGGCGGTAACTGGACTGTCCAGTGTCCGGTGAACAGTGAGCGGTGGTGCTGAAGATGCGATGCAGTGGAGCCTGACCTTTGGCAATTTGAAATGCAGCCGCCTGCAAGTTTGGCAGCACCGGTGTGCGATTTCAAAACGATCCCGAGCCCGTGTTTAGCATTTGGATTGGGCCCAGATGGATTTGCATAGATTTGAATACATTTGCCGGCAGGGCTGCGACCTGTCGCATTAATCCGGCTTTCTTCCCCGCCGAAGTCACCTGAATTTATGGGGAAGCTGGAATTCAAAAGCGTCTCTTTTGTTCGCGGGATTTCAAGGTTATAACCCAGTTTCTGGCAGGGCGCGTTCGTTCGTTTTGCGTTGTCTTCTTTTTTTTTGGCAACAGTGTTTTATGGTGAGAAAGAAACCGAAAGCCAAGTGGGACTGGAAATCGAATTCGATCCGTTTCGAGGCGATTCGAGTCGATTCAAGTCGATTCGATGCGATTCGATTCGTGTTCAATACATTAACCGGGCCTTTTGATAAAAGCTGAGAGATGTCCGGGCGATAACAATGGGCTTGTCCTTGGCTCCGTTGGGAACTGAACTTGCCACTAAATGCAGGCCAGCTGCGTTTAATGACATTTACAAATTGGGCCTGGCAAATATAATTAAAAATACATCAGGGTTGCGCAATTTTCGGCACATTTCGCATGCAAATCAAAGCTCTACTTAACGGGGTTGCTTCTGCTTTTCGGTTATTTGGGGCTTTGGGACTTGGACTCTTCGAGGGGCGCCACGTGAAATGGCCATAATTAAAAATACATCTAGGCGGCATGTGGATTTTATGTGTGTCCAAGCTGGACCGAAAACCGAAATGGAAAGTGAGCTGGCGAAACGCCGAAGAAGTCAACAACCTGTGCGTGTTTGTTGCCTTCAATTCGGTGCAAAACACCCAACTCATTAACTCGGCATCTTAGGTGGGAATTAATTATGCAGATTTATTCATTGTGTTGCGATTTCAAGTGTGGTAAAATGCAGCCCGCCTAATGAAGGTGTGTGCTGCCAATGATGATGATGACGACGGGTTGATGGGCTTTGGGTTTTAGGTTTCAGGTTTCAGGTTTTACATTTGGGCGGTGGCCGGGCTGTGCCCAATTTGGAACACCCTAAATCGACTCCAGTTTGATCTTAAAAATTAATCTTCGGAGCAATCGGCTGGGCTTCCGCCCCGATGGAAACGCTGCCTTCGGGAGTAAGCACTTTTCAACGGATTTTGAAAGTGAATTTCACTGATCATTGACCTCGGACTGTGGTTGCGTGTAATCGGTCGAGACCGAGGCCTGCCACTCTGAGATTACATAAATCCGAAATTAGTTAATAAATGAAAACTGTGAGCTGTGAAATGAGAAATAAGAAATGCTATTGTTGTTCAATATATTGAAATCACGGCGTTACGATTCGATAAAACGCTTCGCCGCTGCAGTGGCAGCTGCAGTTTTCCACTGACCCGCGGCTTTTAACTCCCATTTAGCCAGCCCGCGGGGTTGGCCAATGAAATTGGCTTATGTAAAGCCTCTGCCATCGGACGCCATTAAGTTAGTGACATAAAAATTAACGGAAGACAAGGTGAGCAAACACTCAACACAGTTGTCAGCCCTGCGGAGTTGAGTTAACTTTTGTGAAATAATCATCTTGTTGCCAAAATGATGGACTAAGTGCAGGATGGTCCGTTGTTTCACGGGTCCAGAGTTGAGGTCACCAATTAACACCGCTTAAAACTGATGACTTGGTTTTTAGCCAAAGTAATTGGGATGTTCAATGTCTTTGCTCATGAACAAATATCTAAAAAGTGGATCTTCAGATTATTTTGGTAAATTATGATTGCATGTGGTATTCGAATAAAAATTGTTAGGAATGAATAAATGTTAAAATTTAAATTAAACTAAAACGATAAAGAATACCTTTAATTCCTAGATGGGTGTAATGCTGAACAAAACAAAATTACAAAAATATTAAGCTTGCGCACATTCTGTTCGATATGTTTCATTCCAGAGTTGATTTACAATCTATTATTATGATTTGTTGTATGATTTAGTTTTCAATTAATCTATATATTTTCCTTGGTCGAATCTAACCTAGACCTTGCATCTGACCTAGTATCTCTAGCATTTGCATGTAACCTTAGTCAGCTGAGTTGATATTGTATATTCACTCCACCTTCGCAGGTGATATCGCAGTGACACCTAGCCTCCCAATGCAATTAACGATCCGACTTTCCACCACACCCACCAAAATTGGGTCGCACCGAGTTGGGTTTTATTGAAGTGGCAATGCAGGGGAGTATTCAAATAGACGCGATTAAGTGGAAACCGTTCTAACGGGTTGTGTGTGATTCGAAAGATTCCAGTCACGAACGCGACTTGACGACAAATTACCGTTTCACAAATGCACTTGCCAAATACCCGAGGAGCTGAGCTGAGAAACCGAGAAACCGAGAACCCGCTCGGCCAAATAAGCCAGACTAGCAGACTAAAAATAATCCAGCGATCGCGGCTCACTCGCAATCACTCAGACTGCGGGTATCTGCGAGCTCGAGTATCTGTGAGATACAGTTGGCATGCACTTACCACGTGTGAATGGGACAGGGGAAAGGGAGCGAGTGGCTCGGGCCAAACAACTTTTCTTCCGCGTTGCACATGCGATGGCGATGGCTATGGCTATGGCTGTGGCGATGGCGATGGCGTTTGCAGACTACGAATACGGACTTCAGACTTCAGACCTGAGACTGCAAACTGCAACCGCACCCACCCACAAACGGCCTGCTAAAATCAACAATTAAAACCGTTTACAATCTCCCGCCTGCATTTGATGCAATTTTAGCATTTTTCGAACATTTTTTTAATTTTGCGCTCGCAAATTACTATGATAGTTTTAACTGGACAGCAAACAGTAGACATCGGACAGCAGACAGCAGGCAGCAGAATTTCAAATGGCTCTGGCATAATTTGGCATTCAATTGGATGGCTACGCCCCGTTGCAAAAACCAAGTGGAAAACCCACGAATACAGCTGCAGTGCAAACGAGTTTCCCAGCCCTAAGAGAACCCGAAAAATCTAGGCTCCAACTCCTGAAACAAAGCAAGAAATATCTAACTGGGCTATGAGTAACTTTTCCGGCGGCAGTGGCCAACTGCTATTGAAAGCGAAAGCATAGCTGACAAGGTAGCTCGGTTTTTTGCTGCAGTTGATCCAGTAGTTGAGGTAGTTGTGGTGGCTGTTGCTTTTGCACTTCTAAAACTGGTTCGCTGTCTGGACATGTAGGCAGCCATTCGCAAGTCTTGTAGCCTCCACTTCAATAACACGCGGGCCCAGCCACTCGACTCAGCCGAACTCCACTGAACTCGAGCCCAGCGGAGAGAAAATACCCATACAGTCCCTGGATCTACACTTTAAATTTTAGCTGGTCCTGGGTGGGAAATCACGAGCTATTGAATTCCTCCCCACCAAACTTTCCTGGCCTGCAAGTCGAACTAGTTTAGCAACAGGTAGCAGACATTCATGTTTGATTACTTTTTATGATACGGGATTCTTAAAAGGTCATTTAAGACACATATTTTGATGCTCAAACTTAGAAAAGCAGCTTTGTATGGTTTCGGAAAAAGGTTTGCTGCATATTAAGCAGTTGTTATTATAAATTTTAAAATATTATACAGCTAGCATAAATCAAAAAAGCCATTGAAAATTAATATTCTTCAGGGTATAAAAAGTTTTAACATGGGTAATGAATCACTTGAAGTGTGTAACTGAAGAATGCAAACAAATAAATGAAACACAAAATACTTAAGCTAACAAAAATGATTTTCCATCAGTAAACATTTAATAAAATGTTAAAAAATCCTAAACACGTTTTGAAACTTTTTAGAGCTTTAAAAACATGATTATTTTGCTGGTACTACTGATAGCAGAAATAATTTCAAATTTATTTGACAACAACTGGAAATATTCATCCATGTATCTGCATGCTCGTATTCCTTGAGAATGTATCCAGTTGTAATTCAAAAAGCGTACTTTTTTCTCAGTGCTTTCGGTTCGACTTGCCACCATCGTCAGCTGTAATTTTCCTGCTGCAGTCGCCGACTGTAATTTCATATTCTTCCTGCATTCCGAAACCTTGAATCACTTTTCTTGCATTTAATTGCACACATTTTTTGTGATTTTGCTTCTTGCCACTCGAAGGCGCCGCCGAGTGGCCGCCGTTGACCGCCGAGCTGGGTCAGTTTTAATAGCCGCCGCTGCGAGCCAGTAACAGCACGGCGAACAAATAGCAGCCACAACAACTGGCTGGCCTACCTTTTACTGGCACGCACTGCATTCGAGATGACGGCCTGTTTTAAATGCCAGCCAGTTGAGTGACTATGGGCTAAATGGCTCTCGACGCTGGCGTATTTTTATTTACTTTGCGGGAGAGCGGG